CTCCTGCCTCAGCCTCCCAAGTAGCTGGGACTACAGGCACCCACCACAATGCCTGGCTATTTTTTGGTTGCAGCCATCATTGTTGTTTGGCAGGCCGGGGCTGGATTCGAACCCGCCACCTTAGGTGTATGTGGCTGGCGCCTTAGCCACTTGAGCCATAGGCACCGAGCCAAGTAAGTGAATCTTTATTAAAGATTGACTTAAATACATTCCAGGCATTTAATATTCAACTTGATGCTTATTCCTGTTCCTAAAAAACAAATTAACTAAAATATTTTCTTTAGAACAAAAATGTTGCCCTCACTTTTCTCCCATCAGATCTGGCTTTATGTGTTAATCTCCCTGGTATGAAGGATGAGTTCTAGAAACCCAGTCATGACTTCCAATGAAACATCTGCCTCATACTCAGCTCACAAAAGAATGTGCGATTTCCTGCAACATAATCTTCCAGTCATCCTCTTGGCCCCTGGGCCATTATCAGCTGGCTAGGAATATGTCCCCTTCACTTCTTCAGCCTTGGAAACCTAGTATATGGTTGTCTCATGTGACTTAGGATTTTTCAATTTTATTATGGTGCAAAAGCAATACACCTTCAGTGGAAACTGTATTTGAAATGTCCCTACCACAACTGTTTTTCACTTTTCGGAGTCCACACATTACAAAGTAGGCTTTGTGTTAGATATACTGGCATCTTGCTCAATACATTGTAATCTGGCTGGGTGTGGTGGTTCATGCCTGTATCCTAGTACTCAGGGAGGCCAAGGAGAGTGGACTGGCTGAGCTCACTTTGAGACTAGTCTGAGCAAAGCAAGACCCTGTTTCTACCAAAAATAGAAAAATTAGTTGAGTGTTATGGCAGGTGCCTGTAATTCCAACTACTAGGGAGGCTGGGGCAAGAGGATCAATTGCTTGAGCCCAGGAGTTTGAGGTTGCTGTGACCAATGATGGCATCGCACTCTACCCAAGGTGACAGTGAGACTATTAAAAAAAAAAAAAAGCAAGAAATTAAAATGTTTTCAACACAAGAGAATGCTGAGAATGTCATTAGAGTTAAAAAGGAAGTTGTGTCATTTTCAGTAAGACTAAAAATAAGCAAAGAATCACTTGGTGTTGTAATTGCCTTGAGGATACAATCAAAGAAAACACACAGCAATCCCTGGGAAACTCTCATGAAGAAAACACATGATTATGTACGAGGGTTTGTCCTGCACAAAGCAGTGCACCTGTGAGTGAGTCAAACAAATCTATCTGATCATCTTCCCATGGACCCTAGTTTCTATGGAAAACAAACTGAGCCAAATCCTTACAACAAATTAAATCTATGTTTATTTTTAGAAGTCTGAAAGAAAAGAGTAACATACAATTTTTGTTTTTGAGGCTTTCCTAATTTAAAAAGTTAACATTACAGGCCAGGCACAGTGGCTCACGCATGTATTTCCAGAACTTTGGGAGGCCGAGGTGGGCCGACTGCCTGAGCTCAGAGTTCAAGACCTGAGCTAGAGCGAGACCCATACTCTAGATGTTTGTGTGCACTTTGTTACGTCTACTTCCCCAAGTTGGCACATACGAGTAAATCTCTGTAAGGTGAGGAGTAATGTGGAAGTTGGCAAGGCTCTTGGAGATGAATTGTGGTCTTAGCCCTAGTAGACAAGATCCAGTTCAGAGCCTGTATATATGACTCCATGCTAATTTCCTTCATCATATGCATGGTAATCAAGAAATTCATCAACTTGACAGACTACCACCAATACCCACCAAGAAACCCATGTTCCACAGTGGAATTTCATGCAGCAAGCTCCTCACTGGCCCACTTTGGAATGTGTTCACAAACTAGCCCATGAGAATAAACGATTAAGTGCTCAGCAGAAGAGAAAAAGTGTCGCATCGCAGGCCTTCAAGTTAAACTGACAAGATTCAGAATGCCAACAACATGCATACTCAGAAGCAAATGTTATACTTTAATAATAAACACAATGACAGAAGCATTCTCTTATCCTTCTATTAGCAAATACACAGAAGAACAATTACAAAATAGATTTTACTTCAAACCACTGGTTTTTACACCCAGGAACATTTATCAGAATTACATATGGAGGTTTTAAAAAAATATTTAAGTCTAGGCCTGATATTTGGAGGAGGTTACAATGGGGATCATGACATGAGTAAGTATTTCTAAAAAGCTCGTCAAGTAGCTTGGATGTTACCTCTGGTTGAATCAGTGACTAGGTCGAATGAGGGACTTTGGGCAATCGTTTAGGGGTGTGGGGAGCTTTTCTTGCAGGTTTAGTAGAAGTAGCAAAGACCTTGGCCTCTGGCTTTTTGGGAGTCTGTCTTGGGTCTTTTTTGGTCAGTAAAAGATTTCCTTCCTTCTCTGCCTCTTCTCTGATTTTTGGCTTCTTTCCTGGCGCTTTACCTGGAGTCTCAGGCTCTGCAGCTTTCACGGCATCTGAAGCTGGTAAGGCCTTTCTCTTCTTCCCATGAGGTGTAGTGGGACCAGGACTCTTTTTTGAAGACTTCTTTCCTATGGTATGTTTTTGAGTCTAAGAAAAAGAAGAAAACTTAGTATGGGGGAAAAAGACCTCACAAAATTTCACAATCTTAATTCAGGGAATTACAGTGAACCCCAAAAGGTAAGCCTCAGCATGATGAAGAAGTGGTTGTTTTGTTCTGTTTTTTTGCCTCAGAGATGTTCTAAAAGGTAAGATTATAAAAGGGCCCTTGGTCTCCTTGGTCCAATCTTTCCCTAAGTTGGAGGGTAGGCACTCCTAGGAACAACTGTGCCCTAGAGGTACAGCTGAGACCCTCTGACCAAATCCTGACTCTTCACCTTCTGCTTCCCTTGCAGTGAGTCAGGGAAGGGGCTCCCCTCAGAATAACCCATTTCAACAAATTAGATTCAGAGGCTTTCTTTTTTTTTTTTT